CATTTACAAAAAAAAAATTCGCTAGTGAATCTGAGTTTTGTGAAATTTTTTCAGAAAGATAATGTGAATGTTGTCTTAAATTTTTTTTTATCAAAACAAATAACCTTAATGTTTTCTGACCTCGGATTTTCCGACCAAAAAAATAGTTTCTCTTTAAAAGGTCGTTTACAATTGTTATCAATGGGTAGTTAACAAAGGGTTGCCATTAACGTTTGTTAACGAAGGTTGTTGTTAACGGTCATAAAATAAGGGTCGTCTTCCAAACGACCGTTTTTCAAAAACAAAAAATGATCTTTTTTGAAAACGATAGTTTTTTTAGCCATCCAGATCTCCTTTCAATTGGTTGGATTGGTTAAATTCAGCGGCTTGAAATTCCAAATAATTTAAAATTCAAAATGTTAGAATCAAGAAGAGAATGAAAGCTCAAAGATATTAATGGTAGCATTACAAATTTTAATGATGAATTCAGAAGAAATAAATACTATCTAATTGATTTAATAGAAATAAATTGGCGATACGAAAAACAAATAAAAAAAAACTTTTTTTCAGTGTATGATATTATACAAATGTCAACCATTGGATATTCAAATATTTCTACACAACCTATTACACTATATTTCCAACCAATCTATCTTTGAACAATATATTTTTTCTCTTAAAATAAGATGCTTTTAAAGATATGCCTCATGCATTTAGGATAATTGCTCGATATTAAAAAAAAATCCCTTTAAGGGACTGTAAACATAAAATAAAGTACTGACCCTCCATTTATAGAGTGGCATGTCCACTTTGAAAAGGTTAAATCTCTATCTGAGTAACATTGGGGAAGATATCGTTGTTTTTCTCTGTTTCTCACAATTTCCTTGTGTCTATATGCAGCTCATAAACCTGAGATGAGATTTAAAAGCTTAAACCTGAGTAAAACCCAAACTTGGGCTTAGATAGAAACCCGAGTCAGGATTGGTTCTGCAGATTCGAGCAATGAGAGGCTGTTTAGCAAACTTTCTCTCTGTAGCAGTCAGATCAGCTTTGACAAGGAGATGTAAATTTCGAAAATTCAAACATTATGTAGATACATTATTTTAATAGTATGTTTATTTTATATATTTAATAAAATTTGACACCACAAATAATTTCCGAGATTTTAAATGTACAAATATAAAAGATATTACGAAATTTACGATCATCAACTGCTGAAGACTTGAGCCTTTAAAACCCAAGATAGTTGGTTTTTACTAAACTCAAGGCCATCCAAAACCCGGGTCTTGACTTGAGCTTTACTTGGGTCTAAGCAGACGCAAAGACCGGTGGTCACTTGAAATTACGTCTACAGTCCCTTTAAGATTTGACAAGATAGATAGATGAGTACTGGTAAAACTGGAATTTACATTAAACTTCAGATGACTGCCATGAACGCAGAGCTTAAAATTTAGGATTTAATATTTGAAAAGTATAATCCCTTTTATAATTGAAATATTAATTTCATGCAAGTTTATTAAAATAAAAAAAGCTCATTCTAAACAAACCTCGTTACAGATTTAATTTAGAACAACTTTTATTTTAAGTTTTGTTTGTTTAAAATCAAGTTTGGAATTTTAATATTTTCTAACTCCAGTCTGTGGTGTTTATATTCAACGTTGGGACAGGATTTGGGTTTAAACATTTTGTTCTAGTTCTTCACGCAACTAATGTCTTTAACAATCCAGATCAGAAAACTGAAAGTTTGTTCAGTGGGACCCATAAAACTGTGGATAGGAAGACGACTGTTCGACTTTAGCTACGATTTTAGTCCAATTGCACAAGAAACACAATGATTGTGCAATGCTCGTGTGTCTGTCAATTTCATTTATTAAGTTGATTTTTAAGCAAGAGGTTAAATTTTTTACTTTATTTTAATTAAAATACACAGATCTGGTTCAAATGTCGTTTTCCTATTCCACAGGTTTATGGCTCTCACTGAAGAAAAATATAAAAAGTGAAGGGAGATTTAATGATTTACTAAACTATGAAAGATTTAAAACTACATTTCAATTCATAATCTCAAAGTTTACAGCAGCAATGATTCAGTATAGATTTATAATGTAGATGGTTCACTGCTCTATCTTTAGATTTATAATGTCGATGGTTCACTACTCTATCTATATGTTTATAATGTCGATGGTATACTGCTCTATCTACAGGTTTATAATGTCGATGGTTCGTTACTCTATTTATAGGTTTATAATTTCGATGGTTCACTACTCTATCTATAGGTTTATAATGTCAATGGTTCACTACTCTATCTATATATTTATAATGTCGATGGTTCACTACTCTATCTATTGGTTTATAATGTCGATGGTTCACTACTCTAGCTATGTGTTTATAATGTCGATGGTTCACTACTCTATCTATAGGTTTATAATGTCGATGGTTCATTACTCTATCAGTTGGTTTATAATGTCAATGGTTCACTACTCTTTTAATAGATTTTTGCGGAGAAAAAAATGAAAATGAATGGTATGGGGGTGTTGCTGAAATTATGTTCTTTTCTTTCTAACCACTCATCTACACTTCTTAAGACATTTTCTCTATTATCTCTCTGGTTGTCTTGAATATATATATATATACATATAGATATATATATATATATGAATCTATTTAGTTTATTGTTTATAGTTTCACGTTCATTTAACAGATAGATGCACTTGCTAAGAGGCCTGCCAGAGGCTGGGTTCGATTCTTGGTTTGTTACATTCTAATGTGTTCTTTTTACTCTGGTTTAACTTGAACTACCACATACTGCAGCCCCGGTTCGATTAAAAGATTTAAATTGAATGATAAATTGATAAATTGATACATTGTTAAATTGATCATTCTTGTTTTGGGGTAAAACCACCCCTTAACCAACCTAAACAACCAACGTTGGCAGGGAACAGAAAGGATCCCAAGCACTAGATAAAACTGGTGCATACTAGAGTGTTATGAAAAGTATTCATTAAACAATAATACATCGTTAAATCATAATTTTTTGTTTGCCATTTGTCATGTAAAAAATTCGGCAATAATATAAAATCTTTCTTTCTGATTTTATAATGTGGAATCCCAAACTATAAGAATCCCAAACGAATGTCAACCAATGTTGGGATTGGAAGAATTGGGATTAGGATGAGGATTAGGAAGTTGGAATGGGTTAGATAGGAACCAATTTGGAGAAGATAAAATAGGTTGGGAATTGGAATGGATATCAACTAAAGAGGAAGTTGGGATTGGGATTCAATGAATGTTTAGGATGATAAAAAGGATTGGTAAAGTGGGAGTTAGAGCAATTGGGAAGATTGAGCACTGAATAGATGATTTGGGGACCACTGTATTCGAAGAGAATAAGCAAAATATTGAAGTTTAGTATAAAGATACAGATAGAAATAAAATATGTCCGTGTAAAACTATACAGAATCAGTAATTTAATGGATAAAAATTTTAATAAGGATTGAAGACGACATTTTGGAATGAAATAGCGGATTATTGTTAAGTTGGAATAAGAGAGAGAAAAGAGAAAAAAAATCATCATTAAAATCATTGAATAACCTGCGACAAGATATATAATGTCGATGGTTCACTATTTAACTAACTCTAGAGATATAATGTCGATGGTTCACTATTTAACTAACTCTATTTATATAATGTCGATGGTTCACTATTTAACGAACTCTAGAGATATAATGTCGATGGTTTACTATTCAACTAACTCTAGAGATATAATGTCGATGGTTCACTATTGAACTAAAGAATGACTGGAAGAAAACTCTAGATATATATAATGTCGATGGCTCACTATTTAACTAAAGCATGGCTGGAAGAAAACTCTAGATATATAATGTCGATGGTTCACTATTTAACAAACTCTAGAGATATAATGTCGATGGTTCACTATTCAACTAAAGAATGGCTGGAAGAAAACTCTTGATATATAATCTCGATGGTTCACTATTCAACTAAAGAATGGCTGGTAGAAAACTCTAGATATATAATGTCGATGGTTCACTATTCAACTAAAGAATGGCTTGAAGAAAACTTCAGATATACAATGTTGATGGCTCACTATTCAACTAAAGAATGGCTGGAAGAAAACTCTAGATATAAAATGTCAATGGTTCACTTTTCAACTAACTCTAGGTATATAATGTCAATGGTCCACAATTCAACTAAAGAATGGCTGGAAAAAAGCTCTAGATATATAACGTCGATGGTTTACTTTTCAACTAACTCTAGGTATATAATGTCGATGGTTCACAATTCAACTAAAGAATGGCTGGAAGAAAACTCTAGGTATAAAATGTCGATGGTTCACAATTCAACTAAAGAATGGCTGGAAGAAACCTCTAGATATGAAATGTCGATGGTTCTCTTTTCAACTAACTTTAGGTGTATAATGTCAATGGTTCACAATTCAACTAAAGAATGGCTGGAAGAAAACTCTAGATATATAATGTAGATGGCTCACAATTCAACTAACTCTAGGTATATAATGTCGATGGTTCACTATTCAACTAAAGAATGGCTTGAAGAAAACTCTAAATATATAATGTCGATGGTTTACTATTCAACTAACTCTAGGTATATAATGTCGATGGTTCACAATTCAACTAAAGAATGACTGGAAGAAAACTCTATATACATAATGTCGATAGATCACTATTCAACTAACTCTAGATATTTAATGTCGATGGTTTACTATTCAACTAACTCTAGATATATAATGTCGATGGTTTACTATTCAACTAACTCTAAATATATAATGTCGATGGTTTACTATTTAACTAACTCTATATATATAATGTCGATGGTTCACTTTTCAACTAACTCTAGGTATATAATGTCGATGGTTCACAATTCAACTAAAGAATGACTGGAAGAAAACTCTATATACATAATGTCGATGGATCACTATTCAACTAACTCTAGATATTTAATGTCGATGGTTTACTATTCAACTAACTCTAGATATATAATGTCGATGGTTCACTATTCAACTAATTCTAGATATAAAATGTCGATGGTTCACTATTCAACTAAAGAATGGCTGGAAAAAAATTCTAAATTCTTCTTACCTCCAGTCTGCAATAAAATGATGCATAATGATCAACTAAAGGTCAGTATATCAAAACTAACAATTATTTATTTATATTTTTATAGAATTGATAATCTAACCTTTTGTTTTCTTATTGTTTAAAAGGGCTGTAAGCGTAATTTCAAGTACCCCTCCATGAAAATATGGCTATGTCAGGTTTACAACGGTACCCTTAAAAACTCTGTCTGATCAAGCATGATAAGATTTGCATGATTTTGTTAATTAAAGTCATTTTATTTATCTGCGGTTTCTCTTCAAAAGCGCATTTCTAGCCTATCAGATTCAGAAGCAATGGAGAAATTTACAGAAATAAACACTTTTCGAGTTATTGACGTTTTCTTCCACATTTATGATCATGACTAAGGTGGCATGTATTTGTCTAGGGTTACCCAGAAATTATGAGAATTTAACGACGACCTAAACCTCTTTTCGTATAGTCGCGCGTCGTTTCTAAAGTTTGTTTTTTTGAGGGTTGATCCTGTACATAAGGTTGTCTTTAGAAGATATATAATGCAAGTTTTACTCAGAATATAATCTTAGTTTATGGTGTAGAAAGGTTGGACGCAGAGAGAGGTCGGAAGCAGAGAAAGGTTGGAAGCAGATAAACGTCGGAAGCAGAGAAAGGTCGGAAGCAGAGAAAGGTCGGAAGCAGAGAAAGGACGGAAGTAATAATCTCACGTTATCTTAGGTTTTCTTTGTCGGTGGCCCCAACCAGCGGAAGGATTTTCACCTTGAAGAAGGTAGAAATAATTTTTTTCTGAAATTTTAGCTTTTTGGGGTTCAATCATAAATTATATTCATATTACAATGAAAGATAAGCACAAACTGAATACTTACACTGTTCCGTAAAGTTTGAATTGTTTCTGGAAAACATATTCCCAAACTCAAGTCTTAATTTAGTCTCAAGAGCAGCTTAGTCTTGAGTCTTTATTTCACCAATTTTTCAAATCGCGTGCTCGGATGTAAAGAAAAAGGTTGATAACTATAATCAACTATTTGTCCTAGAAAGGTATTTAATTTGCTGAAACCTAATGTTTCATATATAACTGGAACAACCCCATTTCCTGGCGATCTAATGCTGAACTGAAGGAACAAAAAACCGCTTACAATCAGCAAAATGTTTATTGGAAACAGGGGTTTATCTATTCGCAAAAATGGTGCATTTGATCTGTAGCTGGAAAACTTGTCTAGCTATGCAAAAAGTTAATTGTGTTCCAGGGCAAAACTAGGACTGTGCAAAGTTCCGTTAACGAAACGGAGGTTTTCGAAATGGAAGAGTCCGTTAACGCACGGCAAAAACTGTTAATTTTTAGATCGTTAACAAAAAAAATACTAACAGTTAAAAATGGAAATGAAACGGAAGTTTTTTTTAAACGTTGAATATATTTTTTCTCCTTAAAATTGCAGTAAACTTGGAAGAAAAAAAAATCACGTGTTTTTATGTTTTTAAATGACTAGTTTTTTTTGGGTTTTTTTACATGAAAAACACATTATTCATTTTAATCTAAGCCAATTTTCATTCGTGAAATTGATTAAAAGTTTTAGTTCTTTGAAACCCTTCAATTAAGGATTTAGTGTCAATTATTTTCCTTTTTTATTTAATGTTTTTATTATAGGCGAGGAGCTTTTCTACATGAGGAAAGGATCGATGGAACTCCCTATTTTAGAGCAGGGACAGATTAGGAGTGTTGAAAAATTAGAGCGGCTCATCTTACATTTTTATTATTTGCAAAACAAACTTTGGATAAAATTGGTAATCTTATATTGTTTTCGAAAAATGGTTTCGTGGCTATATGCATTAAATATAGGTTGTACAATGTTTGCAATGAATATATGTGCGAGAGAAGCCTTACTAGGTTTCGGGGTTTTAGGTTCACGTGGAGATTTTTTTATTAGGACTAGGCTTTGAGAGCGCTTCGTGCCCATCTTCTATTTTAATTGTGAACATTTTCTCTATGTAAAACAATAAAGAAAAAGTTCGCGAATTTTATAAAAATTTCGTGGATTTTCAAAATTGATTGAAAATCAAACTTTGTTGGAGGCTAACTTTTGAAATTTCCCTGGGGTCATAGGAGAATCATCGTGATATAAATGAGATGACTTGTTATCCGTCCCTCTGCTATCATTGACTACAGTTTCTTTACAAGTAAGCCTCTCTCCTTGCTTACAACATTTCAAAAGTGTATAGTTCTAACTTTTACGTTGCCTTCTTAAAATATGCAAAATGATGACTTGATGACAGAAGATCAAGGCCTAAACGAAATTTGAATATCTTGCTTAAGATTTTTGAAAATTCAATACAAGCAAACATATAGAAAGTTGTATTTTTAATTAATGTTGAACACGCACCTCTGCCCCTTTAGTAAAAATAAACTCAACCTATTGGAAGCATAAAGTCTGACCGCGTCAACCTTGTTGCACCGGCAGTCCTGTCCAAGAGCCAGGTACAGTACAAACTGGGATCGGAAAGGTTGACCCGGCTCGGAAATTCAAATGTACTACGGCTGCCTGTGTGAAATATTGGTCATTTTTTTGACACACGAGAGTTTAGAACTGTTAAAATAAACGAGGGAGATATTTTTCTTTTGCCCGGTAGGATTCCTCACTCACCCCAGGTAATCATAAATTAATTAATCAGAGTTTAAAATCAATCAATTACAAAATCAGTAGATCAAAAATCGATCAGTAATTTTTTCATCAGAAAAAATAATCGATCAAAAAGTCAACAATTTGAAAAAAAAATCGATTAAAATATTAGAAATAATAGAATGAATGGATTAATAAATTAATCATCAGAGAAAATTATCTAACATAAAATCAATCATTAGTGAATATAATAGTTAATCAATTAATAAATCAATTACAAAAAAAAAAAAATCGAGCTTTAAAGGGAACGGTACCCTTGAAAGCTTTGTCTGATCAAGTATATGTTATTAGATATCAATATTTTGTTTCTTTAAATATTTTTTTTTCATTTGTGCGAAAGTGACTTTAACGCGTAATTTAAAGTGACCATCAAAACGAAGATGACAAAGACTTCTGCGCGCATGTCTTGTTTATAAGAAGCACCGGAGAAATAACCACTTTTTGAGTTAGAAAAACGACGGTATCTTTCACATATTTGATCAGATCAAGGGTACCATTGTTAATCGGGCATTTCCAGCTATGCATGGAGAGTTACTTCGCATTATACCTTCAGTCCCTTTAAATTAATAAATGAATAATGAATACATCAATATTAATGATTAGAGGGGGAAGGATACTGTAGGTCTGGTTATTGAACGTGAACGCCTGGAAACAGAAACAGATGGTCTCAGGTAATCTATTCTTCAGGTCAGATTATTAAATTATTAGATCAAATTAAATAAAACTTTTAAAGGGAGTGACCGGCTAGACAAGGTAGTTGAGCAGAGAGTGCAGATATTATAGAGATATAGTTTGATAGGATTCATCGATCATTTTTACGGTGTAAAATTGCTGAATAAGAGCGCAAAATCAATCTTTGAAGTTCTCTCAGATTGTCCATTTTGGAGGATGAATTTCAAGAATCGGTGTTTTAAAAAGAATTCAATGACAACGAAACAAAAATGTGACAACAATTCTGCTTCCGTGACAAAATATCTGCAACTTATACTAATCTCTATGGATAAATATAGACTTAATATTTATAAAATACTAGCTGAAAGGCCCGGCGTTGCCCGTGAAAAAAATTTGAAAAAAAAATCACGAATTTTTTTAGACTATAACACCCCCCGGCCACCCATAAGTGTCCACAAAAAATTTCAGCCCAATCGGTCCAGCCGTTTTTCCGGCTATACGCAACATATATATATATATACGAATGTCTTGTTTTATTATATAGATAAATATATTTAAACCAGAACTTAGTGTTTGATCTGTAGATGCCAAGATAAAAAAGTTTAAAAAGGTAAAAAAGTTTCATTGGATGAAAAAAATAATATGACAGCTATATCAACAAAATTTTACAAATCACTCATTTTTTTCCTATCAAAATGTAAGGCAAATCGGTTCAGACAAATCGAGATTAGTACTTTATACTTATAAAACACACTGACTTTAATTTCTTAAATGAAAGTCTGCCACAAAGGAATTGAGTCTTTGTCACAAACTCATATTTTCTTATCCCTTTATCTTTGCAACTTGATGTGTAGACCTTTGATATTTCAAACTATAATTTCTGTCAGATTAAATAATCTAAGTTTGAAAAATCGTAGGTTTACACCTTTAAGCTGCAAAAATATAGTAATTAGAAAATGTAATATTGTGACAAAAACTCAATTCCTTTGTTTAACCTGTAAAAACTGAAATTTTGAGCCAAAAAATATAAGAAAAACTTGTTTTAGATATTTTGTTGAGGGGAGCACAGATATATTGTATGAAAGATGGTTTCATTGCGAGGACTTGGGAACTCAACTTAAACCCATTATTGGTGATTTTCTAACTTTTTTATACGTGCAGTTGTTCAATCAAGGTTTTGTTAAAATTTTTCAGGGCAAAACTTATTACAAACCCAAAGTAAAGAAGAAAAAAATAAAGACAATCACTCAACGGTGTTTTGATTACTACGGTATTTCTTATAAATTTTATAAACAACTTATTAATTCATTCTTTCCCCAACATTGTCGTTACTTTTTAATATTTGTAATATTAATTTTAGATATATATTTAGCAGTTTATAATGCATGTTTTCAAAGAAGGAAAATAGAGCCTTTGCCACATTCTTAAAGTTATCAATTCATATATATATATATATCTTTGCAACCTGACGTGGTAATCCTTTGATAATTTTAAAGTTTTGGCGAAATCCAACTGATATTTTATTTTAAATTTTTGCTCTGGATTTCTAAAAGAAGGTCGAAAATTTTGTCCATTTCGATATTTCGAACATGATGTCTTCTATCATTAATCATTTTAGATGAATTCTTTGCCAGCGATGAGCATAAAACTGGACAACCGTCGGAAAACAGGTGAATTATTTACTAAGAATTATTTACTAACAATTATTTACTAAGAATTATTTTGTTTAAATTGGTGAAAATATTCGGATTCCACGTGAAATTTAAAAAAACATGGCAAAACACTAAAAACTAAATTTTGGCATTTAACGTTTTTTTCAAAAAGAAAATAGAACCTTTGATTATTTGTCTCCTGACACGCAAATCTGCCCCTTTAGTAAAAGTAAGTTAAGCCTATATGAATCATAAAGTCTGACCGCGTCAACCTTGTTGCACCGGCATATCAAGTCCTGTCCATAGAGCTAGGTACAGTACAAACTGACCGGAAAAGTTGACCCAGCTCGGAAATTCAAATGTACTACAGCTGCCCGTGTTGTGCACTGAGTATGTATGTCTAGTTTATACCCAAAGAGAATTGAATATATATTAGAGAGGATTTTATACAATCTCTCGGTTTCAGTCCCTTTCAAAGTGTACAAATCATGTAGATGTTCACAAATTATATGCAGTAGAGTACATTAATACAGTATGTTCCCTAGACTATCCAATTCAATTTCGAATTTTTTAAAGCTGTTAAATAAACTTTATAATGAATTAAGTGAATAAAAAACACCATTTGATTTATAGTTATAACGGAAAATCATCGTTTGTAAAGTGAATGGCATACAGTCTATGTGAAATGATCATTGGTCAATTATGAAACCAGCCTATTTCATAATTTGGATTTCTTTTAATATTAATTTTAGATTTTCTATAAAATGAAATTCCAGGGCCCAAAAGGTTATCTAGCATAAATATGTGAAGTACACCTGCAATATGGAAACAGTACAACAAAATGGCCGTTTTACACTTTTTTCTAGTAAATTCCACTCTAATATATTCTATTCTCTATGTTCATACCAAACCACTCTGAGATCTAGACAACTCTTAAAGTTATTCATCAAACTTTTAGACAGTCTTGAATTTAAAGTGTCGCAACGCCTTGTCCTTTTGGTGTACCTCACCAACTCAATTATAAATTTTATTTTGTTTCTAGAATTAAGTTTTAAGGAGTAATTGGCAATAAACTATTCGATATTTGGGCGAGAGAGTTCACATCTTGGTTCGCTGTAGAATGTTCTTATAACTGATTTGAGTTTTTAGTGTTATCACAAGTGCACCTTGGGAACCGAATTCACAAAGATCCGTGCCACCTCCATTTAATCTGCAGGTATTTCACAATTTTGGTCAAAATCGACGATTTTGGAATATATTTTCTAGTTTACGGAAATCAACTAACAAATGATAAATGGCAATTGCTTAAAAAAATTTGCTTTAAATAAGAAAATTAAGTAATATTAATTGTTTCTCACAAAGACCTACATCTCTATTGCTGTAAGCAAATGTAAAAATTGAGAATTAGCTAAAAGTGTAACAAAATAAAGAAAAATTATGTCAAGACTCAAACGTAAGTTTTCTAATCTCTATATCTTTGCAACTTTATTGGTTATCGTATATTTATAGTTTGGCATAAATTGTAGAGTTAATATTTGTAAAAAGTGTTCATTTCCTGTAAATAAAATCATATATATGCAGTTGTTAACACAAATTTGAAATATAAGGAAGACGATTTTACCGACTCAGATGCCGTTGACTATTCTCAAGACGTGTGTATCTATTTCCTCCATGAAGCGCCCACATGTCACCCTCGCTCCGTCGTTCCCCCCTCACCCCTCTACACATCCCAGCCCGGCACTCAGATCGAAACACTGGAGATGATCACAACTCCGTCTCAGGGAGCAACCCTGGCTCCTTCAAGGTGATGATGCAGATACCTAGCCATCAACAGACGATGCTTACATCCAGCTCAATATTGTTCCAAGAGTTCCAAAATTATCAGGCGAACATTGAGACGCATTCCCTCATATTCGAAACTGATAAAACCGCGATCTCCCCCCCTCCTTATCCAAAGCCTGGGGTGAGCGGAAACCTGTTGTTCCAGTTCCTGATGATCTGCATCACCATCATGAAGCTCTACAAATATGTTCCAACTGATGTTCGTCAATAGTTTTCTTTGTTCATTTTTAACCAACCAATTTTACCCAGTCTTATGCAAATATTTCAAATCTTTCGTTTTTTAAATAAATGTTAGAAATATCCATTTCAGATATCTTTCTTTTATTAAAGTGACTTTTAAAGTCAACAACAGTATTAGATAAACAAACCAAGTCAAATGAATTCATTCTTTGCAAAAAACTCAAATATTCTCATCCTTTCAACCTGATGGTTTAACCCTTGTATATTTTAAACTTATTTGATGTATTAAAATTCATAGTTTCAAAGAAAGGTCTAGGACTTTAGGTTGCAACGATATAAGGATTAGAAGATCAAAGTTTGTGGCCAAGATTAAATTCCGTTGCACTTCTAGGATTGGTTGGACATGAATAGACGATTGATTCGATCAAGCGGAGAACTTTTTCTCTTCGATCCAAAACAGTTTCAATCCGACGTAAAAGTTTTAGGTAATTTATCATAAAAACTTTTTGAAAAAAATAATTAACAAAATAATTATGAAACTTAAAACGTAATTTCAAGTAAGCCCCCAATTTCCGTTTATAAAGTGTCATGTCATACTCTTTTAACTTATTAAACATTTGATGGAGTTATCCCTCTTTTTCTTTTTCAACATTGATTTTTTTCAAATGGGGTTCTCTAAAAAGTGCCATGTTGTGATTGGACATGTCATCGTATAAATTGAGGAGTTCTTTAGATTACATGTTACCGTCCCTTTAGTGGTTTCAAGTAAGCCTCCATTTTCCATTTATAGAGTGTCGTATCCTACTCTTTTAACTTTGAAAAAATTTGATAAATCAGGTTTCGGAGAGGGACAGAGAGAGCTTTTAAACACTACCGAGGTAAATTGATATATTAAATACTAGCTCAAGGGCCCCGGGTTGCCCGTGTAAAAAAAAATTTAAAAATCTAAATTTAAGAAACAAAAAAAAAAATTTGTGAAAAAAATCGATTTTTTAGCCCATAACACCCCCCGGCCAACCATGAGTGTCCTCAAAAAATTTCAGCCCAATAGGTCCAGCCGTTTGGCCGGCTATACGCAACATATATAAATACGATTGTCATGTTTTATTATATAGATTATAAAGAAAATTGTTGCTTTTATTTTACATATTCATCCAAAGGTTGCAACCTCGGTGAGAATAATGCCAATTACTTCCTAATAAACTAAGCTATATAAACAAGTGTTTACAGTTCTAAAATATAGTTCTAGGGTTACAAAAAGTATAACAGGATAATATAGTCAGATAACATCAAAGGCATAAAATACACTTGAAAGTCAACCCAGTCTACAAAATTAATTCTACTTTTTCATATCAGCATAGATCTGTATGATTATCACATATCATTTCTTTCACGATCTAAAAAGACTAAAAAGAGACAAAATGGTTAATTTTCAAAATAATAAAAATAATAATAATAATAATAATAATAATAATAATAATAATAATAATAATACAATTTGTTGTGTTTTAAAAAATTCTGATTCGGGCATGCCCATGTTTAAATGTCGGGTCCCTTTAAAATCCTTATTCCTAGGTGTTCCTGTGGCAACTAGAGGGATCAGCTGTAGTTAGTCTTAACGGACAAGAAATAAGACTTAGACGGTAATTAAAGTCCTAAAAGATTCCTAAAAAAAGTCCTAAAAAAGTTCTAAAATATTCCTAAAAAAGTGCTAAAAGATTCTTTAAAAAGTTCTAAAATATTCATAAAAAAGTTTAAAAGATTTCTAAAAATTTCCAACAGATTCCTAAAAAAGTTCTAAAAGATTCCTAAAAAAGTCCCAGAAAATTCTTTAAAAAGTCCAAAAATTCCTAAAAAGGTCCGACAAGATTAATAAAAAAGTCCTAAAAGATTCCTAAAAATAGTCCAAAAAGATTCCTGAATCTATGTAAATTCATTAGTTGAAATATCAAAGACCTAAAATATCAGGTTACAAAGATATATTAAGGATTGACCAACAAATAAAAAATGGATGCAAATTGTTTCAAAATTATAACTTTTAAAAAAAAGTATGCAAAATTTATTTAAAATCGGTGCAAATTGAAATTTTTGTGGTTAAATTTGTAACAGTGCTGTGTTCAAAAATAATTTTAATGTTTATGTTTATTTTTTGTTTGTTGGGTTCAATTTTTACTTACTTAAAAAAAATATGCAGGGTTAATGAACAAAAATGGGAGAAACTTTAAATTTTCCGGGGGCAATTTTATAAATATTAGGGACAATCAAAGTAAGATTGGGGGCAAGTTGAAAGTTAGGGGCAAATATGTATGGAGCAAATCTGAAATAAAAAAAATATGTATGGAGCAAAACTGAAATAAAAAAATATGTATGGAGCAAATCTGAATATGCAACATTTACATCAGGAAAACCCATATTTAAAAACAGGTTTAATATGTTAATTTTAATAAAATTGAGAAAATCGAGAATCCATAGGAAGGCCATTCTAGGTAATTAAAAACGAGATAACTGACATTTATAGAAATAAAGCCTGTTATAGGAAAATGTAAAATTCCTGAAAAAAAATGGGGTCGGAGAATGTGTCAGTCAGCTAAACAATCCAGAGATGACTTCAAGGATGCATACACGGATTGGAAGATTTAAGCCTCAATAACTTTCCAGAAGAAATTCTGCGCCAATGCATTTTTCGGAATGTATCATTTTTACAAAAAATATGTATGGAGAAAATCTGAAATTAAAAAAAGGAAATGATTACTCGCAATAAACTCTAATGTTCTAATCCTTTTTTCTTTTCAACTTGATGATATAAACTTTGCTGATTTGTTCAAATATAATTCATTAGTTGAAATGTCAATGACCTAGGAGTCCTACTCCTAGGACATAACATCAGGTTACAAAGTTAGAAATAATACAAGCCAGGCGATCCCCTAAAACTACCCATACAATATACATAAAAATAAAATTAATAACTTAATAAGTACAATTTACTTTCATTTGTATAACCTTTTTTTCGTTCAATCTTAATTTTTCTTTTTTTTTAGTTTAAATAATTAGATTTTTTCAGAGAAGATACTCTACATGTACCAGGTGGCAGTACAGAACATTGCAGTACAGTACAGTACATTCCGACTACAGACTCACTTACTTTGTACTGTCATATGGATCCAGAAAACAAGAACAGAATTGAACAAGAATGAACCTTTTTTTATGTACCAAGAAATAAAAAGGATTCTATTTTGATTTATGATGAAATTCTGTCTTATAGTTTACAAGTTTTGCTCCAATTAGTGAAAAAATCTAAATAAATATATACTATATGCTTGTCTGTTTGAATCCAATAAGCGTCAAAACGGCAGAACCAATTTTTTTGTGGGACCTCATATAACTAGGGATGTTAAAGTTTTCATTATTTAAAAAAAAACGATCGTTTCGGTAAGAAAACGACGACGAAAAATCGAAAACCAAACGATCGTTTTTCAAAACGATCGTTTTTATAAAAATCGTCGTTTCGTTAACGACGACCCTTCGTTAACGATCGTTAACTAAGATCGGAAACCGACCTGAAGGGCATCTGTACTTATCATTGAGTAGTTTTTAAGAAAATATCAAGAAGTTTTAGCTCCCCCACAACTTTTTAACTTCAGGTAAGACGAAATTCAAAAAAGTTGCATGTCATTTTTTTCTTCAAAAACGATCGTTTTTTCAAAAACGACCGTTTTTATTAAGTTCGTCGTTTCGTTAACGATCATTAACGACAACCCTTTGTAAACGATCGTTAACGACGACCCTTGGTTAACGATCGTTAGCATAATTGTCGATAAATTATTTTTTCAAAAACTATCGTTTTTCAAAAGCAATTGTTTTTAAAAAACAATCGTATAAAAAACGGTCGCAAATCTTTTTTAAAAACGATCTTTTTCAAAAACGATCATTATTCGTTTTCTAAAAGTTAAAAACGAGTGGGTCGTTTTTAAAAAACGATCGTTATTTCCCAAAAACGAAACGATCGTTTTTGAAAACTATTGAAAAACGAAACAAAAAACGAGTTTTCAAAAACGATTAACAACCCTCCCCAGGGAAGGTTTATGAATGCTCAGAGTTTTAAAAATTTGTCTCCAAAACAATTTTATTTTGCGAAAATATTAAAAATTGAGTAAAATAATTGTTAATGCGCGTAATTTTATTTTCCTTATTTCTCGAGTAGAAAATGCTGAAAGATTGAACATTAGTTGAAATATTAAAAAGAAGATGCATGGCGCAAAGCGGTCCGAAAGTCTATTATATCTAAAATATATACTTTGCTTGTTTGTTGGTTTGTTTGTAAACAATAAGCGTTATAACGGCTGAACCGATCAGGCCCAAATTTTGTGTGGGACCTCACATGACCCCAGGGAAGGTTTATGAATGATCAAAATTTCAAAAATTTGCCTCCAACAAAATACGATTTTCATTAGATTTAACAATTCACGATTTTTTATAAAATCCGCGAACTTTTTTTGGTTTGTTTTACAATGTATACAAAGAAAAAATATTCACAATTAATATAAAAGATGGGATCGAATCGAAAAAACTGATTGAAAAAAAATCAAGATAAATATTTTAAATTTTTCCACTTTTCCTTCAAGAATTTATGTTTGCAGGCCATTTTAAAATAGTTCTAATGAATGAATAAGTTTTTCGACTAAATAAACAATAATTTTATTATATATAGTTATCCAGGTATACCATGGTAAGACCCGAAAAGGATGATTCTTTAATATCAACCAAAACATTTAAAAAAACACTCTGTGAGTTTTTAATAAAAATATAACGTTAAATGTCTGTAACAATGGAAGACACAAATCATAAATGTAAGTGAATAGACAAAACAAATGTTGTACAGTCGTCTCTGTAGTTTTAATCTTTGTGGGTAACCCTGTAGCTAAGAGTTTTATCTAGAAATTTGAGCCTCGACTGCTTCAGCATCTCGATGTTGCTTTCCATGTCTAGGGCTGGGCACGTTCCGACTTTTTTGAAATCGTTCCGTTCCGTTCTAGAACGAGGGCCTTCAGATAAAACGTTCCGTTCTCGTTCCTTTTTTGTTGTATCGTTCCGTTACATTCCGTTCCGTTCCGTTATGAGTAGAAGAACGGTCTTCCCGTTCCGTTTCGTTCTTTGCGTTCTTATTTAAAGAACGGTTCCATCCCTCTTGTTCCGTTCTTAGTCAAAGAAGGTTTCCATCCCCCCGTTCCGTTCTTAGTATAGAACGATTACTAAAACCGGGTTACCTTAAAAAAGGGGGTGTATAATTTGTAGATTTTTGAAAAATATTTAATTTTCATAATCAATATTTCAATAATATCAAAAGAAATAGAAATAAATTATAGAAAACAATTTCTTTCAACCTAAATTTCCCCCCCCCCTTTTCCTTTTTCCCCTTTCAGCTCCCATTCCTCAAGAATGTAAATGCATTAAATCCTTGCAGTGGCGTAAATAAGGGAGCTTGTTGGGGTTATTTACCCCCCTAGAATCCTGGGGGTAATTTCCCCCCATAGAATCTTGAACTATTCAGGCCCTGAATAGTGAGTTGTTACTTTGTTTCTGTTTTTAGAAAAAGGTTGATTTTAAAATTGAATATCTTTTAAAGGAATTAAGTCCTTGGAACATAATCAAATATTTAAACCACAATATCTTTGGAATTAGATGTTGTAAACCTTTGATATTTCAAACTGATTACTTGATCTAACAGAATTCATAGTTTGAAATATCTAAGGTATGCAACATTTGGTTCCAAAGATATAGTGATTAGAAAATCAGAGTTTGTGGCAAAGACTCAATTCTTTTGCGAGAAAATGATTTTAATGTGCAGATACTTCAGATATTTCAGATTTAAAGTCAACATTTTCTAAATGATTCTAAATTCTAATGTCATTACAATTAGATGTTTTTTCAATAAAAAAGGGTATGGGCAATGAAAAATACATTTTTACTTCTAAATAATGTCATTTCCATATTAGATTTATTGAAGATCTTAATATACTACATTGACGACAAGAAAATTTTAGAAATTAGAAACAAAGACAAAATTTTTTCAAAGTTTTGCAGAGTAGCTTTTCTAAAGATTTTAAGAAGTAACATCCTTTTCCTCTTTGAGTAAAACTATTATTTTGTATCTTACTTTAAATAAATTCAGTTTTTTACAGATCTTTGTAGTTAATGTAAAATGAATGACTATAATGAAGGATATAAAACAAGGTGAAAGCTGAAAGGTATGAAATGAAGCCTTTATTTGATGGAGTTTGTGAATGCCAGAAATGAGTGGAAAATGCAAATCAAACCCAACTAAAACCAATATTTTGATATACATCATGATATTTTTCTAGGGGGGGGGGGTATTTTTAAATTTTCCCCCCCCCCCCCTACAGAATCCTTATTTGCGCCCCTGAATCCTTGCCATTCCTTTTCCCCCCCCCCCCTACCGGCTAAACCCATGTATCCCCTTACTTACGCTTGTACTTTTACCTAGCAACACATACTTACGCATAATTATATTCTTACCCAATTATAACCGTATTTTTTCCCTTTTTCCCCCCCCCCCCCTCCTTACTTTCCTATATTACATATTGTGTCTAATGTCATTTACAATAATTCTATCTTTCAATTTCGGTCACTACATACAGAGAAAATCTAAACTTGAAACACATTCCTGATTTAAAATGCGTTCCCAACTTAGAACGCGTTCTTGAAAATAAGAACGCGTTAACGATTTTAACCTTTCTTTTCAAGCAATTCCCGTTCCGTTCCGTTCCGTTCCGTTCTTTTACTAATCGTTCCAAAATTTTTAAGAACGCGTTCTGAGAGTTCGTTTTTTTCGGAACGATGGGATCGTTCTTGATCGTTCTGTTCGTTCTCGGGAAAGAACGATCGTTCCACCAGGAACGCGCCCAGCCCTATCCATGTCTCCATTTTCCCTTTAGACATCATGATACTAATTTAGCAGATTTTCCCGTTGTTATTAATGGATTTTTAATATTGGAATTTTATTATAAAATTTTCAAAAACAATCGTTTCGTTTAGAAAAAAACTATTGTTTTTTAAAAACGACCCATGCACTCGTTTTGAACTTTTAGAAAAAAAATAACGATCGTTTAAAAAAGAACGATCAGTGATCGTTTATTACACTATCGTTAACAAAGGGGCGTCGTTTACAACCGTTAACGAAACGACGAACTTTATAAAAACTGTCGTTTTTGAAAAAAAATTAAATGCAACTTTATCGAATGTCGTCTTATATGAGGGTAAAAAATTTGGGGGAGAGCTAAAATTTCTTGATATTTTCTTTAAAACTCCTCTCTCCTCCTCTCTTCGTTAACGATCTTTAACGAAGGGACGTTATTAACGATTGTTAACGAAACGGCGAGATTTATTAAAATGATCGTTTCGAAAACGACCGTTTTTAGAAAACGAACTTTTTTGTTGTCGTTTTCATAAAGAAACGATCGTTTTTCAAAAAAAAAACGAAAATGTTAACATCCCTAGGCCCAAGCTATTCAGCCTTTTCGAAGAACTTAATGGATACATATAAACAGATACAAAAGCCTGATATATTATATCAAATAGACTAAGTTAAACTCTTAGCTATAGTTGCTGCTGGTCTGTTTTGTAGTGTTTAACTAAAGCATTTTAAAAATACGTAATTTTTTAATGTTTTCTCTTCCTATTATAAAAGAACTCTATGCTTGCCATATACTATATGTTCTAATCACCAAATCTTTTCAACCTGATGGTGTATACCCTTGATATTTCAAACTATTTAATCTAACAGAATTCATAGTTTGAAAGGTCTACGACATTAGGTTGCAAAAATATAGTGTTTAGGAAATCTAAGTTGCAAGAACTCAGTTTCTTTGAGTAAAACAGTTTTTTATACATTTCTGTGATAACTGTTGATAAAGGACAAACACAAAATGACGGTCTTATTTTTAAATTATTCTTTATCTGTATTTTACCAGATAAACAATAGGCCCTGCTTGTACAGAAAACACAGCCTCATTATAGATTATAATTTAATTTCATATTTTCAAACTGTAAACTTAAGCGAGTCAGACAAATTGAGCTATTTTTTGAAAATTAAGAAAGAAAGTAACAATTTTTATACCTGTTGACTTTTTATTTTGTTTAAAGCTCTTTTTCTCAAAAAGACATATTCTTAAAATACCATAACGTCAAATCTCTTAAAATTAAAAACTTCCAATGCTTGATAAAGAAAATATTTTTTGGTTAAAAAAAGCATTAATCAATTTTTTAAATTTCCAACAATCACACAAACATATGTTTATTTTCAACTAATCAGACTTTCCATGGTTAAGATGACCTTCACGAAGAACACATTTAACCAGTCGAATAACAACCATATATCCCGTAACAAGGATGAGTATAGGTCCTAGACTTGTGAATTCTAAATACCAGGCTAGAAGGAGAAGAAGTGATGGGAGGAAGACAATGAAGAACCAGGAGAAGAAAAGAAGACCTTTCCGCGCCTTCTCAATCTCATCAGTATCGTTTACTCGGGGAAAGGGATTTTGAGGCACTGGGACATTTAGAAATTTACAGATTGGCTCCCAGCCTTCTTTGACCTCCCAGACCAACAGGCGGTCAGCGGGAACGACAGATTTGACCTCATTCACGTGTTCATTCCAGAACTGTACTGCTTCTTTTTCTCCTGCACTGACTGCCCCAAACATACCTAACCCTTGGGTAGAGCACTGTGGTACAATTGTAGATAGCTTGATAACAAGTTCAGTTGTTGCAGCCCTGCCAGTTAAGAAGTCAAACCAGGAGCAGGGCCAACTTGTTTCTGTATTTGAGATTTTCAAAATTGAATTTTTAACACTTTGATACCATTTGACAGGATCTCGTACATTCAGCAATATCTTTGCGTCTGGAAAAGCTTCCATTATCTCCTTATAGAAGAAGGATATAGGGTAGTCCACTCCTCCTCTATACTCAGACAGGGTCTTCACCCAATCATCTGTGCTTGCTTTTCCCTTCATCGCCTTCCACCAGAAGTCATGTTGGTCCGGTCGTTCATGGAGCACAGTAGCCATATGGTGAATATTGCCTTTCAGTAGCTGCTTTAAAGCTGTTCTGGTGGACATGGTCCCTAAGCCAAGAGATGGTAGTGTTTAGCCTTTTTTCAATTCGTTTGTACATTGTTAGTTTTTTCAGTTGTTGAGTAAAAATTTTAATTCGTTTGTTCATTATGAGTTTTTTTTCTGTCGTTGAGTAAAAATTTGAATCCGTTCGTTTTCAGAATTGTCGTTTATTTTCTGATGATTATTTAATTCGATCGTTTGTTTTGTGAAATGTTTTGTTCAAAAAATCGTTTGTCCAGTAAAAAAACGGCCTTTTAAAAAAATCTTTTGTTTTTAAGTATTTTGTTTGTTCACTAAAACGATAGCCATCTCTACCTGTGCGCGGAAGCCCAGCACCTATTAACACGAGACCCTGATCCTTCACCATCCTGCTAGGGGAACTAGATAACACTGATTATTTTAAAAACCGTATGATAAGCTCTATAGCTAGCAACACAAACAGGATTTTACACAGCAAATCCTGTTGACTGTCATCCTAGTGTCTATTGTAAGGATTATTACAATATTCCTACACAGTATACACACATAACTCTGTGTATACTTAGCATTCACTTCTTATCTTTGGTATTCTTATTTACCTCTTAGCTTCTAAAAAGTAATTAAGTCTTTGCCACAATCTAACTCTGATTTTCAATCCATTTATCTTTGAAAACGATGTATTTAGTATCAATATAACCTGATTGCAATAAAGTTTGCTATGGTATTTATTATGATGACTGAAATTACTAGCCGGGTTATAATATTGGCAGCAGGGAAGAAATAAATATTATATCCCTGCTGAGAATATTTCATTTCGGTTCAAGTGATTTTAACCCGGATAGCTGGGACAAAATGAATTTCAGTGTCCGAATTTAATGAATTTTAGCCGCGTTTTAAATCCGCCAAAAACCGATTTCAATTGAGCGCCGGCTTAAATCTTGAAAAATTGAATACAATTTTAAATGAAAGCAACCATATTTGAGCCGCGGCTTAAATTTAGGCCGCCGCTCAAATTCTTTAAATTCGGCCTCAGGATGACTTAATTACTTAAAAAATTGTTACTTTCTTTCTTTCTTTCTTAATTTTCTAAAAGTAGCTAAATTTGTCTGTCTCGCTGAAGTTTACGATTTGAAAACATTAAATTTGATTAAAATCCATAATGAGGCTGTGTTTTCTGTACAAGGAACTTTTTAGGTTTTTTAGGAGCTCGTAAAAATTGCCAATTACGGATCAAATCTAAAGATACTTTGCTTGTCTGTCTGTTTGTTTGCTTGTATCCAATAAACGCCAAAACGGCATAACTGATCGGGCCCAATTTTGTGTTGGATCTTATATGACCCCAGCCCCAAAAAAGTTAAAAGTTAGCCTCCATTAAAGCTTGATTTTCAATCAATTTTAAAAATCCACGAATTTTTTATAAAATTCACTAACTTTTTTAATGTTTTGCAAAGTTTTACATAGAGAAAATGTTCACAATTAAAATAAAAGATGGGCACAAAGCGCTCTCAATGCCTGGTACTTATAAAAAATCTCTACGTGAACCAAAAAACCCTGAAACCTAATGAGGCCTCTCTCGTATGTTTATTGCAAACTTTTTTTATTAGGTAAATTTAACTTATATAAGTTAATTTGTATTAATGCAGAAAGCCGCGAAACTATTTTTCGAAAACAATATAGGATTTTTTTTTCACAATCTTTGTCAGGAGTTCGTAAAAATTGCCAATTACGGATCAAATCTATGAATATTTTGCTTGTCTGTCTGCTTGCTTGTCTCCAATAAACGCCAAAACGGCATAACTGATCGGGCCCAATTTTGTGTTGGATCTTATATGAAGGGAAGGTTTATGGATGATCAAAATTTTAAAAGTTTGATTTTCAATAAATTTTAAAAATCCACGAAATTTTGAGAAATTCTCAAACTTTTTTAATGTTTTGCAAAGTTTTACATCGAGAAAATGTTCACAATTAAAATAGAAGATGGGCACGAAGCACTCTCAATGCCTAGTACTTATAAAAAATCTCCACGTGAACCAAAAAACCCTGAAACCTAATGAGGCCTCTCCCGTGTGTTTATTGCAAACATAGTATGCAAGGTAAATTTAACCACGAAACCATTTTTGGAAAACATTAAGGATTTAATATTTTTGCAAAATCTTAAATGGAGTGTCTGACTAGTTGAGCCATGAGAATGCAATACTTTTTTATTTTTTATTTATGATTCATTTGAGACATATGAGACGTTTTAACGATGCTTTTTGAAGTATTCTGATAAGATTTATTAACATAGTTATATGAATCAGGGAACAGTCCCTTAACATGGGTTTAGGTCGAGAAGAGGTGTTAGCTTCCCCCCTGGCTAGATGATGCTACCGGAGTCTAGATTCCCGCGTCTTCTCAAATCCCTTTAGATCAGTACTACGGAGATCTTCATTAGGTTAACACTTTGAGAGGTTCCCTGTAGCGTAGTACTACCCTATGAACCCTGATGCAACTCCATTCTACCCAAGCTGTAACTCCATAATCCAATCCAGCCCACTCAATCTTCATTCCATCAATCCCATCTCCCTCCTCTCCCCAGCCTACTTTGAGGAGCCGTATATCTCGATGTCGGAGATACCTGAGGAACCTGCAACCCGAGATTCTGGTGCTCCTGCCAGTACCCTGCATGCTGGTGATCCTCCTCTGCTTGATGTTCCTGCTGTACGACATATTGATGGAGGAGATCCACAACGGTCTGTCTATGAGCACGGGGGATGTGAATCCCCGTGTCCGGACCTGGACGAGGATGTGTCCCCCGTAGATACGGATGAGACTAGCCTCAGCTCTGAGGACGAGTATGAACCGTTCCCTCATCTTCTACAGAGTGTGGGGACTGTCTGCGACCTGACAAGGTCCTTGGACCTGGAACGTAGGCTCCTGAGGAACTCCATAGCTCAGAAGGATAGGCTCCGAGCTGATCTACTCCGGCATGTGAAGAGTATCCTGATACTCTTGATGATGATCTATGCCTCCTCTATCAAGCCCGGTATCATCTAGATGATCTTATCAAGGGATTCTCGGAATCCCGTCCAAGGGATCAGACATCTCCTTCAGCCTAGTAATATTAATGTGATTAGTAATGTATTTACTCATGTTCTTAATAATAATAAGGTTGTATAAAACTCTACTTATGATTATTTAACTATAACTTATTTACGTCAAAAAGACAAAGTAAGGATTATCTTTGATTGTTCAGATCACAACAATTTTTGTTCCCAAGAACGCAAATCCTTTAAAATCCTCATAGATTGTTCATTTTGGAGGAATGATTTTGAGAATCTTTTTTTTTTCACGAAAAATGTAAAATAAGGGAAAAAGTTTTTATGACTTTTACAATTTTTCCAATATATAATTAAGATTATTGAAAGATTATTTATTTTTGGAATTTATTTCTTTAAAAAAACTGTTATAGGCATAATTAAAAAGTGAACCTCAAATTAGACATGTCCAATATAAAAGGTACCCGACCTAAAAACCTCTGGCTGAGCAAAGTTGAAGAAGTTATTCCCCTACTTTTGTTCCACAAATTGATTATTTTTTAATAGCGCCATCTCGCTAAACGCAACTTGTGTGTTTCTCACTAGAATAAACAAGTTGAAATTGTGGAGTGGATACAAAACGCCCAAAAACAAAATGTCCAATAACAAAACACCCAAAATTACATACCACCCAAAAACAAAACGCCCAATGTTACAAATCGTCCAAAACAAAACACCCAAATAACAAAACATCCACGATAACAAAAAGCCCAAATTTATAAACTGTCCAAAGATATAAAATGCCCAAAATTACAAAATGCCCAAAATTATAAAATGCCCAAAATTACAAAATGCCCAAAATTACAAAATGTCCAAAATTACAAGATGTCCAAGGTTATGAAATATCCAAAGTTACAACTTTTTGATTCTTTTGTTCAATTGACCTGGTCTATTATAACATTATTGACAAGGTCTTAAACATTGATGCAACTTTTCATAGCTGTCTGTATCTATGTGGGGGTTAAAAATCCTTACTTACTAACTAACTATCGACATGACAACTGAACTTGATCAGAACAGAAGCTCTTTCCTTGCTTGTACCTTCTTCTTTCTAACAAAGCATCAGTTACAATGTCTGAAAATGTCTTAAATTGATAAATAAATGTAGTATAAAACATTTTGTATCTTAGTATCTTAGTAACTTGCATACTAAGTATTTTGTATCTTAGTATCTTAGTAAGTAGGGATTTTTAATCTCTTTTGTTTACAAATAAAAATACTTGTTTTTAAGTTGTAATCAAATATTTTATTATTTTGACATTTTTAGAAAATTTTGAAAATTTTGTAATATTGGACAGTTGGGCATTTTGTAACTTTGAAATTTGGATATATTGTAACTTTGGACATTTTGTAACTTTGGATATTCTGTAACTTTGGACATTTTGTAACTAAGGATATTTTGTAACTTTGGACATTTTGTAACTTTGGACATTTTGTAACTAAGGATATTTTGTAACTTTGGATATTTTTTTATTTGGGCTTTCTGTTGCTTTGGACATTCTGTAACTTTGGACATTTTGAAATCTCCAAAATTGTGAGAAATATGCGCTTTTAAAACTAAAAAAAAACAGCAATTTCTTCCACATTATTGATCACATAAAAGTTAAAAGGATTCCGTTGTGAATCGAGGTAACCGCTATTTTACATCCGGTTTAAATTTAGCAAATAATGTTTATGTGCAAAGTTTAAACTTGTATGATTTCAGAAAGTCTAGAAAAAATAATGTCTGGCATCTTGCATGAATTTAACATCATATTTTAACAAATAAATTCATTTATAAACATAGTTGTTGACACACATCGCGAATCGTCGATGGAGGTTCTAAGGCTCTCTAAACCACAAACACAAGTTGCAATTATATAAATATATTTCAAACCTACAGAATACAGTTTTAGTAATAATAATTGGACAATATAGTGCTGAAAAAAAATTTTAATTTTAAAATAGTTTCTGAATCTTTAATTGAAAAATGCCCCCCCCCCCCCTCGCACCGACAATATAGATATATTTGAATTGTAGCTAATTTGTTGTCTGTTTGTTTGTGTTCAATAAACGTCAAAACGGCTGAACTGATCAGGCCCACATTTTGTGTGGAACCTCACGTGGCCCCAGGGAAGGTTTATGGCCAATCAGACGTTTAATATGTAATCTTAAAATATTTTTATCTTATATTATTTACTTTAGTAAAATTTTGAAAATCTGCAAAAAAAAGTATTATGAAATCTGCAAATTTTTAAATTTTAAAAGAGAAGATGCTCACAGATAAAGCCACAATTAAAAGCCGAAAAAGAAAATCGGCGCGAAGCGCCCTCAAGGCCTTGTAAACATAAACGAGACTAAACCGACCAGCCTGACATATTTTGATATTGTAGATTTTCACATGACCCCAAAGCAGGTTCGTGACCAGATATATTTTAAAAAATTGCTTCTAATATTTTTAGTTTAAGAAATGTTGAAAATTCGCCACTGAAATTATTCATGATTGATTTCACTTTAATGTGATTTACCAAAAAGAAAGCTTCCAGATTGGTCAGCAACGAAATTCAATAAATAGAATAATAAAAAAACTATACATGGAAACCCAGCGTTACAAATAGTCACTCCGTTTACCCGTACTCAAACGATTTTACCGGGAAACTTAATTTTCGCGATTAAAGTCGACCCACTCAAATCAACTCAACTCGAAACCAAGCTAAAAACATTTCTGTGGGTCTCCTGAATTCCCCAAATCAAAATTTGGGGCAAATTGGTCCAGGGGTTCCTGAGTTATGATCAGACAAACAAATGAAAGAAAAGGGCCTAGTTATATATCTATTCTATATGTACTATGTAGTTATAAGTAACTACAGAGTGTCTCC